TACGTGAGGAACTTGCTAACAGACTGCATTTGGAAGCTGTATCCTGGAAACAGAAAACACGTAAATAATGGATTAGAGATGGAGATAAGAACACAAAGTTTTTCCACTGTTTGCCGAATCATAGAAGAAGAGTAAACTATATGGAGGAATTTTTGGTTAATGGTCAATTGGTCAGCGGTAACGAAGCCATAAGAGAAGTCGCAAAAGATCATTTCAAATCCTTTATACCAAGAAACTGTTGAAAACGGTCGAAACTCGATAATATACATTTTAGCAAGATAAATGATGTTGACGGAATAACACTTGAAGCTGAATTCTCTGAAGAAAAAATTTACAACTGTTTAAAAGAAAGTGATGGTGACAAAACTCCAAGGCTTGATGGCTTTAATCTAAAATTCTTTCGAAAATTCTAGTATGTACTAAAAAATGACATTCTTGAATTTTTCAATGATTTCCACAAGAATGACTCATTTGTCAAATCGATCAACTCCACTTTTTTGTCTTGATTCCTAAAAAAGGAGTCAACAGTTTCACTGATTTTAGACCAATCAGTCTTGTGGACAGTTTTTACAAATTATTATTTAAGGTGTTAGTTAGAAGACTCTCTAAAGTATTAAATTCTATCATCGGGGACTGTCAACATATTTTCGTTGAAGACAAATTTCTGATGTCATTCTAATTGCAAATGAAGTGGTTGACGATCTTAATAGAGACAAAAAGAGGGGGCTACTGTGTAAATTGGATATGGAGAAGACTTTTGACAATGTGAGCTAGGACTTCATAGACTATATGCTCAATCATTTTGGTTTCAGTTCAAAATGGCGAAAATGGATTAATGCTACATCTCCACAACAAGTTTTGCAATCATGGTCAACGGTGGTCCTTCCACTTTCTTTGCTTTTAAGAGGTTGTGCCAACGCGACCCGTTGTCTCCATTACTTTTCATTATGGTTAGGGAAGCATTAAATAAGCTTATTGAGCAAGCAAAAAATTTGAATCTCATTAGAGGAATTAGAATGGATAAAGAGAAAAACATTGAGATCACTCATTTATTCTTTAACGACGACACCCTAATTTATTAACAACCTGATGTTAATATGTTGCTTAATCTTAGATGTATTCTTCTCTGTTTCTAAACTATTTCGGGGTTAAAGATCAACATGTCAGAGTCTGAGATGGTGGGTT